TTTGGGGGAAACCCCCCCCCCCCCCCCCCCCCCCCCAAAAAAAAAAAACCCCCCTTACTCTGCTGCCGGCGTTGTGCGATACAGACGAGCTGGACTCTCCCTATACACACCCAACAGGGCGGTGAGAAAACATTTCATGCCACGTCGACCTGATTTGTTCTTGAAACAGTAAGAAAAAAGAAAGTTATGCTGAGATGATGAGATGAAGGGGAGTTGCTTGCACTGACCCGTGTGCTGAGCTGCTGTGCATTAGAGGCTGGCGCATGAGCTGCTCAGTTAAATACTCGTAAGGGCTCTGGAACATGGGAGAGCTGGCGTGGTGTGCGACACGGATGAGAGATGGGCACCTTGTAAGCGGGCAGGCCTAGAAAGAGCGGTCTGCTGGCATATCAAGGCTAGGGCGGACGGGTAGCGCATACAGATGCGACAAACCTGTAGCTACTGTTGGCACGGGCAGTCACAATTTCATTGCAGGCATGGGATACGTGCAAGAAGGACCATTGGCCTTGAGGTGGTAAGAGTGCAGGACAAACGCCGAGCAAGGCAACCTTGGGGAGAAAGAGTGTGATGATGCAGAAAATCAAGTAAATCGTGAGCTGGGGCATATAGAAAGGTTGGTGGTGACGGGGCTTGACGACATACCGGATAGTCATGCTCATGACGCGCCGCCGGGGTGCGAGATGACTGTGCGGAAGTGGAATCGCGTCGGGCCACCGGGGACCCATGCAACGACTGAGCCTGAGTGCATGCCGTAACCAAGAGTAACCCGGCGTGCGTGTGGGGATGGTGTGATAAGGAGGAGAGCAGGTTCAGCGCAAGTTGATGGGATGAGAGAGGTCAGGGAGACGCTCGGTCTTGGCGGTGCATTTAGAACAATAACAAACCATGAGCTGACTGGAAGAGGGGTGGTGTTCCACTTTTGGCGAGGCTGTCGCAAGAATTGCAAGCAGAAGAAAACGAGGTCAGAAAGGATGTACGAGGAATGTTGCGGTCTTGGTCTACGACGACAGGACCATGGAACAGCGAGAAGTACATATCCAATGCCCTTTGGAACGTATGTTGAACGGGCACTGACCATGGGCGTTGTGGGTGCTGGGTCGCCTGGAGTTTGAAGCGCCTTCCGTTGTTCGGCGCGCGACGGAAGGGGAACCGCAGATGGCCTTGTAGCGTTCCATGTCACTGACAACAGTGAGATCAACAGCGAGACCAGAGTTTTTGATTTCACGAACAATGGTGAGATGAGGCCAATCCACAACGCTGCGGTTGTTGACAAAGACTATGCGATCGCCGATCCGCAGGCCTGCCACCTGAGAGAATGAGTAGCGGGTGAGCAAAATGCGCAGACAGGGCGGGCGGGCAATGCAACGACAAAGCGCGCATAAAACCTTGGACAGGCGACATACATCAGCGGGTTCTCCTTTGCGAACGCGAACGACAACAGCATCTTTATCACCCTTGAATTCGACTCCAAAGGGCTGGGCCGTCATGCGTTGCAGTCGCACGGTTCGTTGCTCCCGCGGCATGGCGAGCCGTCTTGTTCATGGAGGAATCACGCAAGGGGACCAGGACTCTTTGATTGGGGCATTTGTGTGGATGGCAACCAGGCAAAACGTGAGTGCAAGTCAAGTACCAAGGCCTTCCCCGACACTTCTCACAACATTGAAGGGTTTGTGGCTCAAGGTCCTGACACAAGCACCGAAGACAACGGATCGCATCATTCATACTTGAGTGGAATGTAGGATAGAAGAGGGCGCGCACGGCGCCACACCTGCACGGGTCCACATATACTATCTGCTTTGACAGAGACGGCTACCGCTGGGCAAGGCTGGGAAAGCACCGACTACGAAATACCAGAGCAAAAGTGAGCCAAATTATCTCAAGTTTAAAAAAAAAAAAAAAAAAAAAAAAAAAAAAAAAAAAAGGCCTTGGATGAAGCGGATGCACCACGCAAGGCAGCCAGGAGGTGAGGGTGATCCGTGAGACCACCATCACGACCCAAAGAGTCAAGCATGCGCACTCTTGAGGCTTGAAAAGCATGAAATAGAGATGTCCAAACACCGGAAACAACAATCACGCCCGGTCAGGGGCGAGCCGATAACCCCCCCTCCCATTCCGAAAATGCAGGATCGCTCGGAAAAGCGTCCAAGCCACAGGCAACACCCATTTCCCTTCAGCCAGATGCAACACCACAACCCCAGAGCCCTGCGGGCAACTGCCCGTCCAACAGAACATTGACACCCGGCGTCCGAACCTGCTGCGCGCTCGCGCGCTCCACTGCCAGAGAGAGATAAAAAAAAAAAATTCAGAAAGAGATGAGGATGATCAGACGGTGATTGGGTAGAGAGAGACTCTGAGGACGGACATGATGGAAGAGATGTGAGCGATTTGTGACTGCGGTTGCCAGGTGGAGTCGTAGTAAAAGCAGAGAATTTGTGAACATGGGTGATAAAATCAGAGATACAACCAAAATACCAACACAGCTCGAGAGAATGTGAATCAAGCGCAAACGCCTAGGGTTTTTGAATTTCTCGTTACTGCTTTCGCACTCTATATAATTTTTGTATTTTCACTGCCTTCGTATTCTGTATATTGCCGATGCGGACATCATCATCAAACTGCGGACACGTTTTCGCACCAAATCAACACACACACACACACACACACACACACACACACACTTGTCTGCTGCTGCTGCTGCTGCTGGCTGCTGCTGCTGCTGCTGGCTGCCGCTGACTGCTACTGGTCGATGCGTCCATCTCGGGCCTCTGTCCGACTGTGTTGTGCCTTCAAAACCCAACCTCTCTGCCATGCCTCTTTTGTGAGTCTTTACTCTCTGTTTCGCCATTTGGCTTTTGACTGTGTCGCCCCTCCACCCGCTCAGCCTTGTTCCTCTCCTGGACCCACCCGAGCTCGTTGGCATTGCGGGCTTGACGTGACATTTTTCACGAAACATCCGATTCGACCGCTGGTTTACCCGTCAACCGCTCGATATACCAGTCCCACTACCCCGCTCCTGTTGCAAGTTGGTTCCCTTGGCCTGCCTCTTTCCTTCGGTGGTGAAAGACATCTGCTGCAACACTGCCGTTCTTGTTGCTGCCAACACCCGCCGGCTGGCCCTTGGCTTGAGACCTTCAAAAGCTGCGCACATCGGCCGGCCTATTTCTTCTCCAAGCGGTGTCACCACCGCACACACTTTTCCTCGGCTCGCTGATTGGTTGTTGTCACTGCAGACGCGATGACGGCAGATCAGCTTGAAAAGGCCATTGATTTGGTATGCGGAAACCTCCACCCGTACCTCACGCTAAAATTTTGTTGGACAAGGCCACAATGGTCTCACTGGCTATTTGTGCACGCCACGGCCGAACCAGGTCTGGGATTATCTGCAGCTCCACCATGACTTGAGCGAAGTTCAAGCCGATATGCTCTTGGTCATGGGCTCCAATGACACGAGGGTGGCCGAATACGCCGCCCAGCTCTGGCATCAGCAAAAGGCCCCTTACATCCTCTTTACCGGAGGCGTCGGCTTTCTCACGGAAGTACGACAAGACGCTTGAATGGCCGTGTGTGTTGTTGATTGATAGTGCTCGCTTTTTTTTTTCTGCCAGAATGCGTCGTCAACTCATGCTCCGCTTCCATGGCCGTCCCTTTTGTTTCTTCCGATGACACAGGGTGTGTTTACCCAACCAGAAGCCGAGCTATTTGCCCAAATAGCCAAGGCACATGACGTGCCCGACGATGCCATTCTCATCGAGACCCAAAGCTCCAACTCTGGTCAGGCAACCCGCCTCCTTATTCCAAGGCGCCTCTGCGGTCCCTCGGCTTCAGCCCTCGTCCATTCCATTGACTTTTTATTTATTTTTTGCCATCCCGCATGCATCATCTCGGGCCTGTCACAGGAGAAAACTGCCGAAACTCAGCGGCCCTACTACGTGAGCGTGGCCTTGAGGTCAACTCGTGCATCCTGCTGCAAAAGCCGTTTATGGAGCGACGTGCCTACGCGACCGTGCGCTGCCAGTGGCCAGAGCTGACTGTGGCTGCCGTATCCTCTCCGCGCCTGACCATGGACGAGTACTGTGCCCTCTTACCCAAAGATGACGTATGGTTTTGACGCATGGCACACAAGAGCAGCGCTTCGCCCCGCCTGCAGCTTGAGCACGACTGTTGCCCAGTTTCTGACCGGGTCCCTTTCTGCTCCCATAGGTGATTCATGCCATGGTCGGACACTTGCATCGCATTCTCGAGTATCCCAAGCGAGGTTTTCAGGTGAGCCGTCAAGTTGCAAGGAGGAACGAGCGGCAAGGCGATGAGGCGATGAGGCCTGGTCGTGGTTTTCACCCTTGATCCTTCACATTTCCCCTTGATAGATAGAGCAAAGCGTGCCGGCTGAAGTCCTCGGGGCCTGGGAGACACTGGTCGAAGCCGGCTATACCCAACATCTCGTGGCCGAGGCCCCGCAAACGTACCAAGATGCGTAGCCTCGACCGCAAGCGGCTCGCGCTACACTCATGCTAGATGATAAGAAGACGATTGCACACACTTGTTCGCTGGTCATCGAATTCACACGTCACATCAAGTATGAACAAGAAACAGGCTGCCGTGTCATCATGAAGAGCACAAGAGGTAGGCCTGTCGACACGGCGGCGGGTGCAAAATTATCAAGCCGCTCAGCAAGCGTCTGGAGCTCGCCAGAGACCGAGGGCGGTGATGCCCTCGCGGCCTTTATTGCAGCTACTATCTGGCAGCATGGCCAGGTGCTGACACTCAAAGTTTTGGCCTTGGAGCAGCCCTGACACCAGCTCCATGCTCATGGCAAAGGGTGGCCCACCTGCGCAGAGAAAGGAAGGGGGGCGAAGCAATGAGCGGGGGGAAGAAAGACAATCGAGCAACACCAAAAACAGCGGGTGTTGAGGTGACCCACCCTCTTTGTCAACAATGGGAAAGATGACGGTGACGAGAAGACCACCGGGACGGAGGAGGGCGCGCATTTGCCGGGCCCATGCTTGATGGCTGTCTGGATGCAGCGCGCAAAGGAAGGTGTAGTCATAAATGAGGTCGTACTGCTGATCGGAGGTGGGTTCGAAAAAATCCATGCGGGCGACGCTCATGGTGCCTGTCAAAGGAGCATCAGGGGTGGCGTGCTCCTGACTGTTGATGTAGTCCCGAGCCACCTGCGCGGCCGTCTCTGAGAGTTCCCAGCCCTCGACGTGAAATCCATGCCGAGCCAGCACCGGCAAGTCATAGCCCCGGCCGCATCCCGGCACCAAGGCCCGCGCCTCGGGGTGCCGTGGCACGTCGTCCTGCGCCAGCAAGATCTCAAGAGCCGGACAGGGCCCCCCGGCATCAAACTTGCCGAGCGGCCGGACGCCCTCTTGCCACACCGTCTCCCAGTGACTGGACCGCCCGTGCCGCGTTGCCTCGTCCTTGGCCGTCTGCAACGTCTGCATGGCCGGTGTCGCCCGTGGCATCCGCAACGTCGCCCCGGTCTTGCCCGTCGCCATCCCCCGCCACCCCAACCGCACACCACCCCGCACCGCCGCCATCACGCTCCCATGCATCGCGTCCCTAGAGAGAGAGAGAGAGAGACAGACAGAGACAGAGACAGAGACAGAGACAGAGACAGAGACAGAGACAGAGACAGAGACAGAGACAGAGACAGAGACAGAGACAGAGACAGAGACAGAGACAGAGACAGAGACAGAGACAGAGACAGAGACAGAGACAGAGACAGAGACAGAGACAGAGACAGAGACAGAGACAGAGACAGCGACAGAGACAGAGACAGAGACAGAGACAGCGACAGAGAGGTTTGGTCGGTTTGAGAAAGAGAGTAAAAAGAGAGAGAGAGAGAGAGAGAGAGAGAGAGAGAGAGACAGAGAGAGACAGAGAGAGAGACAGAGAGCGAGAGAGCGAGAGAGAGAGATGAATTGGTTTGGTCGGTTTGAGAAAGAGAGAAGGAAAGAGCAAAGACACAAAGGAAAAGTACAACTACCACATGTAACAACAACAGGGAACAAAAGAGAGCGGATTGATTTTTTTGTTCATTTTTCGTCAATTTTTTGTTAATTTTTTGTCAATTATTCGTCAATTTCCATTTTTAACATCGGATCTATTATTTTAAGGCTCGAAGAGATGGCTGATGGGAAGAGAGTTGAACGAGGGCATGGGCATCGGTGACAGGGTTTATCGATGCCTGCTGGTTGGGGTGTTACACACACCTGCTTGTTATCTACTGAGCCTCTTCTTGTGACACGACTCCTTGCGCTACAAAGAAGCTTTGCTTGATCATGAGAGAGGAAGAGCCACAGTATGGCTGAGGAAGACACAGCACAACCCTGAGGGCCTGCTGTGACCCATTGAGCAACACGACTCGCGACGCTAATTACCTCCTTACAAAGCCACTGCCTTACAAAGGGCTACAAAGGGCTTGGGGCAAAGCCTCTGCCTGACCTGGCCCGATTGGCACGGAGCAGTGCCGTGCAAACCATAACCAAGATGTGACCTCACACGAGCGTGCATGCAAGCAATTTAAAAACATCTTCGCGCGTCTGTGAAGCAGACGACGACAGCTTTCCATCTGCTCATCGCCGGTGGCTGGCCGTGGATTGCTGCCAACTTGATGCCACAATGGCTGGGGTTGGCCGCGTCGTCGGGCGCTGGGAGTATGTGGCTGTGGTCGCATTGGCCTTGCTCAGCTTCTATCTCATGATACAAAATCGCCAGGTGGTTTACCCGTCACTGCCATACACCCAGTTCAAGCGACTTTCGTGACATGCGCGCGCCTTGCCTCGAGTACCCCGCTGTTCATCACTCTGCGCCCTGCTCTTTACTCCCTCTTAAGCTTTTGGTACAGCTCGAGGATGTGCTTGAAGCCCTGCCGTCACGTACATCTCGCGGACTTCTCAGGTCGGCCTTCGCCCTTCTGAGCTCGGTATCATGCCCCAGAGTCTCATCCAGCCCGTCCTTCAACCTCATCCGGGCTTGCTACATGTCTGCTCACTTTAGGCCTCCGCGCTTTCAAACAGACCAACCAGCAATCATTTTTGTGGGTGAGCCTGCTCATGCGTTTGACTGTCTCCCCGTGACATGCCCGTCACGCCGGCAATTGCTCCCTTCAGGTCACGCCAACGTACAGCCGACCGACACAGCTACTTGACCTGCACAAGCTTTCCCACACACTGTACGCCGCATCCTTCAAGGTTGGCCCTTGGCTTCCCGTCTCCGAATCGATCAGCCTCAGTTTCCTATACCCGCACACAACCCCGGCCCAATTCAAACGCACACGTCCATGCATCTTAACTTAGCACAACATATTCTGGGTCGTCGTGGAAGATTCCGCGGAGAAGACCGGTCCAGGTATGGTCTCAGTAAGATGGTCCCATGCCCCTATTCCTCACGCTTATTCATGCCGGGCAATGTGTGTGAATGTTTCGCATTGCTGCTCCCCACCCGTGCCAGTATCTCGATTCCTGGCGGACTGCTCGGTAAATCATGCCCATTTGGCCATCAAAGAAGTGCGCCCTGCCAACGCTTTCAAGGCCAATACTCAGCGCAACTTTGGCATTGAGTACATCCGCCGTCTGAATCCACACCCCGACTCCAAAGCCTACTTTGCTGGTCTGCCCCCTTCTCGCCCTAGTCGCTCACAAAAGCATCCCAATGCACCTCAACGATCACACACTTGCTTGGTATTGGGCATCGTTGCTCCTCCTTCTACCCTCACTTTCCACCGGTTCTCAATGTCCACTAGACGATGACAACGTCTACGCGCTGGCACTCTTTGATGAGATTGCCAAGGTGAAGAACGTGGGTGTTTGGCCTGTTGCCTACTCGGGAGCTCGACGGGTCGAATACCCCATCGTCCAGCATGGCCGCGTAGGTCTCGGCTCGGTTCGCCTTGCCTTGGTCCCTTTGGTTTCTTTCTCGCTGGCTCATGCCTCGGTGATGCTTAGGTCACGGGGTTTTTCGCCTATAATCCCAGCTTTCGCCACCCTTTCCCGCTCGATATGGCTGGTTTTGCCGTCTCTGTGCGGTTTGTACTATATGACCCACTCTACCCCCCTCTTTTTTTTTTTTTTTGATCCGAGTCTCCCCCTCTTTGATTTTTTTATCCGGGTCTGACCTTTTTACCCCATTTTGACCGGCCAACTCGCCCAGCTACTTTTTGCGAGAAGATCCGGTCAAGTTTGAAGAGTTGGCACCCACTAGCACTGGTGAAAATCGCTTCCTGCTTGCTACCGGCATGACCGTTGACACGCTCGAGCCCTTGGCTGATGAATGCACACGGGTATATGTTTGGTACGTGCAAACGGGCGCGTGCTCCAACTCCCACAGGAAAACAAATCGAATTTTCGGTTTGATCCTCCCTGATATCAATTTGCCCGTCTCTGCTGCGTGTATGTGTGGATTTACAGGCATGTCAAGACCGTGGCACGTCTCGAGGCCAAGTACACTGAGCAAACTAGCCAGTTTGTTGATGTCTAAACAACTTTAATTCAGAGCAAGCCCAACTCAAATGACACAATTGTTGCAAAGGATGCACGAATGATAGCTGCATGTACGCGAACGTCAGCACGGGCGTTTCCCAAAAGCAGACCGTCGTAGACTAGGCTGAGTGCCCTGTGACCCAAGTTGTGGACAAAACCTTCTGCACCATCCAAGGATCCACAACGAGTCGGGGGGGTTTTTTTTTTTTTTTTTTTTCCAATCAATTGTGGTGGGACGATCAGAAAAATCGCCCGGTTGCCACGCGCTCAAGGGTTGTCTTCTCTAAAACAATGAGAAGAGCAGAGCAGGCAGGCAAAAACAATCACAACAACAGCACAGCTGTCCAGAAGGACAATCATGAACAACACAGCACTACGAATCTGACTGCACACGAATCTGACTGCACACCGCCCCAAAAAAAGACGGAGGATTGTGAGCCAAAACAATACCAACACAAGAACTTGGTGCAGAGATGATAGAACATGGAAATAACAGCTCAGACAAACACAACGTTCACATAAGAAACCAACATCATGGTTAAAAAGCCTACACGCGAGTATCGAGCAGAGGAAAGCATGGTACGTGGTTGAACCCCTCGACAAAAAGAAGAGAAGGGGCGATTGGCTTACGTAAGGCAAGCTCAATAGACGCCCCAAAGTTTTAAGCATGCTCAAACCAACAAACCAATTCACAAATGAAACAAAACGCGCCACCCAAAAAAACAAAAACAAAATCTGGCCGCATAGCGGATGCATGAAAAAGCCTCGTTGGCAGAATTATGAAGCCATGAGCACGCTCGCGATGGTATTTGCTGTATCGCGCGAGTTTGATTCTGATGTGCTCCACCAAAGCGAGGGATGGGTCAGGGATAAAACGAAAAGTTGGACAGCGGGGACAGCTGGGCACAGACGTCATGCCCGCAGGACAAAATAGGCATGTCAATCAGAAGATGCCAAGAACACATTGATGGAGAATCTTGATTACTCATCCTTGATGACCACAAGACTCAACACGAAACGTCACAAAGAAAAGAAGCAAAAGAGAAGAAAATAGGGGAACGAGAACGAAACAAAAACGACGAAAGAATTCAAGTCGCGAGCAAAAGATTTGCTTACGCTTCTAACCCGTCGATGCCAAGAAGAAGCCATGCTGATGTCTTTAAATCTCGGCCGAATCAGCGGTTGAATCACGCTTCGAATAGCGCACCGAGCCCGGGCGCACCTCGATGGGGCGCGAAGCTTGTTGCAAGCGTTGCGGTTCTGATGCCTGATGCGCGTTTACCATGTTATCGTAGTCGTCGTCCAAGTTGGGCTGCGGCACCCGAAGCGTGGACGCATCGTCATAGTCGTCATCATGATCGTCATACAAAGGCATGCCGTAATTGGCCTGTTCATAGTCATCAGTTTTGTTGAGGTATGGGTTGCTTCCGCGCTGTGAGTAAACGTCGCTTGCATATGAGTAGCGTCGGTCGTCATCGTGCCCATGCTGCGGCGTTGCCGTTGAGTATGTAACCTCGGGAGACGCAACCGTGTAAGTCGCTTCCGGAGATGCCATGTAGTACGGTGCTTCGTCAAAGCCCTGCAAAGGCTCGTGCAGCCGAGCTCCCACGTCATACACATCGCCGCCGGTCTTGGCGGCGAGATCATAGGTCGTTTCGTCTTGCGGCAACGCAAAGTCATACTCCCCGCTTTGCGCGTGCAGAGCAACGTCATAGCCGTTGTTGGCCATGACGCCCTTGCGACGAATTGTAGGGCGACTGAAGAAAGCAGACATATCCTCGTACTCAGCCTCCTCGCGCAAGCCCGTAGACGGGTCCACATACGGACTCCAGCGCATGGGCTTCATGCCCGCAAAATCCTTGATGCGAAGCGCGCGACCCCTCTTGGCGGGCTCGGCCCACGCAAGGACGGCGCGCTCGGCTTCGGGTACCTCATTCTGCGCAAGACTGGCAGAGGTGTCCAAGGCTTCTTCCATCATCGTATCAACAAGAGCCGAGAGAAGATAGGCCAGGCTTTCCTCCAGCATGGGGTGAGCCTCGCCCATGGAGCCTAGTTCGGCGGCTGCAGGGGGCACGTAGCGGTTGAGGAACATGTCCAGGCGACCCTGCAACGGCTGCAGCATGCACTTGGCTGGGCGCGGAAGCTGAAGCAGATCGTATACCACACCCACTTGGGCATCATCCAGTTGCAGCAGATTGTCGTGGTACCGCATGCCAGCAAAGCCAGCTGCTCGCTTGTGGCTGCCAATGTAGGCATCCACGGGCACGGGCTGCTCAAAGACGGGATTGTTGTGCATCATCAACGTGGTCATGTCGTCATCCTCCGGCTTGAAGCGCTGGGAGCGACGGTAGCGAACCGCCACAAAGATCAATACCAAAAGCACCAGAACCACGCCCGCAGCCAGCCCAGCAATGGCCGCCGAGCTCTCCTGAAGGGTGTTGGTGCCACTGTTCGAGTTGGAACGGCTAGCGTCCGACTCAATCTTGTCAAAGGACTCACAGGACTTGTCCAACGTCGGCGAAGGCGTCCAGCTGGGGCATTGGTCCACAACCCAAGGGAATGGGCTCGGCGCACTGTCGCAGCAGCCGCAAGCATGGTTTGCCGTGCACGTGCAGAAGATGGCCTCTTTCTCATAGTCGTTGATGCACGCCGAGGCGCGGCCCGCAGCAATGCCGCAGTAGTCGTCGTAGGAGCAGTAGTCCACCAGCTCACACGTGTCGCCCGTGAAACCCTGAGGACAGACACACTCAAAGGTGGCTTCCAGGCTGACGCAGACTCCTCCATTGAGGCAGGGGTTTGACTCGCAGAAGTCAATGTCTTCACACACTCGGTCAGAGGTGGGGGTAGGCTGGGCCAATGTGTCTTGGTACTCGCTGCACACGGTCAGGTTAGCACATACACGCTCCGTGCTGAGGGACATGGGGACCTGTTCATACTGAGAGCCCACGTCACAGGTCACGTTGTTGCGGCAAACACGGTCTGAGGTCGCAGTCACTTCTCGGAACACCAACTGCTCGGGCGCACAAACAGAGGTCAGATTGCAGACGCGATCCGAGGTGGCCGTCAGCGACTGCGCAGCATACTCGTCAACCGTGCACTGAGTGGCGTTGGTACACGAGCGATCTGATGTGCTCGTTGGCGCCACAGACTCAAACTGTGTTGCAACAGCGCATGTGGTCAGGGGCATGCACGAGCGCGATGTCGTAGCCGTGGGTGCCGCCACCTCATACTCGTTGGCAGTACAAACGACGGCCTGAGCGTGGCAGGTGCCTGTGGCCAGATCGTTCTCAAACAACACGAGCGGATTGTAGCCTTCGGTCAGCGATACACGGGCCAAACCAGCACTGCCCGCCGATACTTCAATGTTGAGAGGCGAGTAAGCATATGGCGCATCACCGGCTCCTGATGTCACGCGCACACGGCCGTTCAGAGCATTTGTTGTGAGGCTTGTAGAGCCACCACCCGGGGACGAATCGGTTCCTACGTTGATGGTGCCACCACTGCCACTGCTGCTATTGCCAGTACTGGCTGACGAGTAGGGCGACGAGGCCTGGATGACGGTAATGCCTGACTCGCCCGTCAGGTTCATTGGGGTACGCGCGATGACGAGGAACCGGCCCGGCGTCTCGACGTCTGCGGCGGCCTGCCACAGCCCTCCTTGATGATTGGCACCCTTGGTGGAGGCAAACACGCTGCCAACCTCCAGTTCGCTTGCCGCAAACAGGGAGCTGAAGCCACCCAGAGTTGATTCGACGTCGAAGAAAAGGTTCACCGAGGCAGCACTGGCAGGCAAGTCACTGCGACCGACCACCGAGGCTGAGATGGTGAGGCGACAGCCCGAATCCGTTGAGACAGGGGCCACAGTCAAGTCGTGCACAAAGAAAATCAGGCGTGAGTACACCCGGAGCAAATAATCGGCATCTGACATATCAAAGCTTCCGTCACCATCGGCATCGAGGTTGGCCTGCTGGTTTTGCAATAGCGTGTCGGGGAACGCCGGGTCAAGCAGGGTGGCGAGCGCAACTGTTTGGATGTATGTGATGTCGCTGGCATCAAAAATGCAGTTGCCGTCCACGTCGCCCGATTGGTGTGCCGCACCACCCGCGCATGAGGCGCAGGGAGGGTTGGCACAGGCGGTCGTGGCAACATCACGGCGGCGTCGATCTCCACTGTCGCCGCTGACGGTAAAGTCAAACGAAGCAGCAACAGCGTCCACAGGCGCCGAGCTGGGCACCACGACACCTGCTGACGTTTCAAGTCGCAGGATGGATACGAGCACGGATGCATCGCCGGCGCTGTCCATGGCCAAAGTGAGGCCACCCAGCGACACGACACCGGTGGCGCTCGAGGCGGGCGCTGCAATAATCGTCACCTCACCGGTTGATCCCACCACCGTCGTGAAAGTGCCATCCACTGTAGCCGCTGCACGCGACACACTGAGGACACGCACGTGCTCTGAAAATGTCACCCGCAGACGCGCTTCCACCAAAGACTCGGTTCCCACGTTGATGCGCAGGTCGGCCACCTGGCTCTGACCAACCTGCGGTTGACCCAGAGGCAAGCCGTTGGCGGTACCGAGGTCTGCGTCGTGTACGCCAGGCAACAAATTGACGACAACATCTGTCATCTGGGAGCTCACCGGGGTCCCGGCCGTCGTGGCCACAGCCAAAGTGAACGGGGCGGAACTTGAGCCAATCAATCGTAGAGCCAGGGCGTCAGCTACCCCCGAAGCGGTCACGGCCACGGCAGCGGCACCTGCGCCACTAACCGAGGCGGCCAAGAGGTTGCCTGGGAGGAAAGGGGTTTGGGGAGATGTAATCACGGTGCCATCATCGAGCGTGACGCTGAACGGCAGCGTTTGCACGGCATCGTATTCGCCTGACACGTGAGTCGGCAGCTCGAGAGAAATGCCGGTCACAGCCACCGTGGTTGAAACAACGTCCAAAGCAATTGAACCAAGCGCCGTGCCGACCAAGGAAGCGGTGAGCGTTGCACTGCCAAGCTGGCTCGGTCGCCACCAACCCGCGACAAAAGAGCCGGCAGAAGCAGGCATAGCCGACCAAGCCGCCTCGGCAGCAAGATTTGTTAATTCGGAGCCATCCGTTAACGAAGCGGTGAGCTTGACCTCACACGCTTCGTAGAAGCCGTTGGCATGCACGGTGCGTAGCTCCGTCACAGACTGACCTGTCACATCATCACAGGCGACCGTGTACGAGGCTGCATCAACCACGGCAAAGTTGAGGGTGGCGATGACTCCGTTGCCAGCAGTGGCGGTCACAACAGTGGCGCCGACCGTGGCCGCCGTCACGCGCAGGTTCGACACGGATACAATGCCACCCGGGGCAGCGGACAGGCTGATGCCATCCGCTGCTACGGCGGGGCGTGAAGTACCGTCCGTCAACGCCACGGTCACTGACACATCGACCCAGCTCGGGTGCGAGGTGGCAGCCAGGCTGGCGAGAACGGAACCAGGAGCCCGCAGGCTTGTGGAGCTCGCGGCAAGAGTGATGCTGGCCACGGCCGGCAGGTCAACAACAACCTGCACCGTGCTTTGAAGCGAAGCAGCTGCGGCACAGGTAGCGGTCGTCCACGACGCCGTAAAGAGGGCACCATTGGAGCGGCTTTGGCCAATGATGGCTTGTCCATCCACCCGCAGACTGGCGCTGCTCGTCGTCAAAGCAAGACCATCATCGATAGTCAACGCTTGGCGCTGCGAGTCCGAAGTAATGAGGGTGGCGTGTACATAGGCGCGCGGGGCCGCTGTTGTTAGGTTCGAGACCACGGTCGCTTGGGCAATGCCATCACTTCCGCGCTGGAAACCAGGTACGGTGACGCGAATCTGCGCCACTGGGGTCAGATCAAGGCGAGTGGGCAAAACAGGCGTTGCCGTTACAGTGACGGCCTCTGACGCCAAGGTGGTGCCGGAGCTAGTGCGCGCCTCCACGATCACGGTGCCTGGTGCCACGCCTTGTACGTCATACCCGACAATGTGGCTGCCGTGCAGAACGGGCGTTACGCCAGCTGTGGCCGCATCGCTTGAGTGGAGCTGCACAAAGGCAGTCACGTCGGCGTCGGTGATGGCGCTGCTGCCTTGGGCCTCGAAGTTGGCACGCACGGTCACGGCGGCTCGTTGGTACACTTGCTGGCAGCCATTGTCAGCATCCAGCCAGCCTTGCACCGGGCTCAGCTCGTCGTCGGAGACGGTCATGGCAAACGTGCTTGGGCTCCACACGCGCACCTGTGTCGACTTTGAGTTGTCACCCACGTTAAACACAACATTGCGCGAAGGCTCAACGGTGGTGGCGCTGGCCGCAGTCAGAGAAAGCGTGCGGCAATCAACAGAGGCCGTGACCAAGCTCGACTCGCTGGAGCACGTGATGCCATCGGTGATGCTGCGCAGGGTGCCCTGGCGTGTGACGCCAAGAATTGCCATGGTCGCACTGACGTCGTGACCGTCCAAGAATGCCGTGTTGAACAGATTGACCGTGTCGGGTACGACAAAGAGACCTAGGTCGGCGGTGCTGGCAACATATACGCGGCCGGCAACGGCAGACTGCACGCCGTAGCGATCAGCAAAAGTGGGACGACGTGAGCTGGCGGTACGCCCGCCGGGCAGAACATGGCCGCCCTCAACGGTTGCCACGTGATTGACAGCGCAGTCAATGGCCACGTCGGCATCGACAACGGCAGCCGTCACGCGAACGGTGACGTTGAAGAGCACCGAAGAAGTGAGGGCAGCGTTGTCGTAGGATGCCAGCTGTCCCACGGCCGCGAGGCCGCGGTTGAGCGAGTGAATGCTGGTCGTTGCACGCCAGAGAACGTGGTCATACTCCACGCCCACTAGCTCAAGACCCTCGCCGAGCGTCATGGTGAGGGCCCAGGCGTTGACGGAGGAGCTGAAATTAGCGTGTGCGCTGACAACAAAGGTGTCGCCAGCGTAGACGTTGTCACGAGGGAGGGCCAGCAAAACGTCCTCCACAACGGCCGGGCTACGCGTTGGTTGCAGTGTAACCGTTTGCAGGGTGGCCAGACCAGCGGAACCCGCACTGGCAAGGCCATAACGCACGGTTAGCGTGGTGATGGTTGGGGCAAACCAGTGAGCAGGAACGGCATGCCGGGCCACACACGTGCCGGTCGCAGCGTCCGTGATACAGGTGGCTGTGACTTCCGATACGCCGTCACTGTGCACCAGCACGAGTGCGACGTCAGTGCTAGTGACCTGAGCGCCGCCATTGGCATCGGACACGGCAAAAGCCACCGTGACCAAGGGCTGCTCGGGGAAAACGTCGCCATCCATGGCCAGAATGGCCTCGACGCGAGCAGCAGCAGGCAAACCCATGTTGATGGTTGCGTGGCCTGTGACATCACCGATTGTAGCCGAAACCTCGTACTCGGAGGTCACGGGCAAGCCAGCTGTAGCAGTCAAGTCAGCGCTGGCTTCGTAGCTGAAACTGCCGGTAGAGGCCGAAGCACCCAAGACCGGCGTACCAGCCACAAAGGCACGTTCCACATCAAATCGAGGCACAGGCGGTTGGGCTTGAAGAGGCTGCACGCAGCACTGGCGATTGGAGGTTGCGGTGGCGGGCACGCACTCGTATTCGCCAGCCCCGCAAGTGCTCAGCAGCAGGCAGATGCGATCGCTAGACGGGCCAGGGGCCGTGGCTTGGTACTCGTTTTCCGTGCATGTCGTCAGACTGGTGCACACGCGGTCTGAAGTGGCGGTGGGAGCCACCTGTTGATATTGGGTAGCCTCGCACTCGGTAAGGTCGGCACACTGTGCGTCCGAGGTAGCCGTAGCCGTGGTAGCTGTGTAGCCGCTGCTGCAGGTGTTGATACCACAGCACTGACGGTCATGGCGCTCATCGGGGGCCTGGCACTCGTACTGTGTCGCACTGCACTCAGTGAGAGCCTGGCACACGCGATCGGTAGTCGTCGTGGGTTGAGCAAGCTCAAAGTCCGAGGATGTATCGCACGCAGGGGACACAGGCGCACACGCCGTGTTGGCATCCACCGTGCAGAGCGCGGTACGATACTCGCCCGTGGCGCAGGGGGTGCAAGGACTGCACGCCCGATTCTGGGTGGGGCTGCACGGAGTAGCAGCGTAGGTCGAGCCTGGCACGCACGCAGTGCAGGTACTGCATTCACGGTTCAAGCCACCTTGGCAAGGCTGGGTCTCGTAGGCACCCGCGGCACACGTTGTGCAGGCCTGGCAGTTGGTGTTGCTGCCTGAACTGCAAGCCTCAAACTCATAGTAGCCAGTGGTGCAGGCCGAGCAGGAAGCACACACACGGTTGCTGGTAGCAGTGGGGCTGCGAAACTCGTATTGATTGGCGAGACAGGTCTGGACAGCGCAGCAGCTGCGGTCCGAAGTGGGCGTTGCTGGAAGGCAGGCGTACTGATCCGAGGCGCACGTGGTCAGGCTGGCGCAGGCGCGATCGGTGCTGCTAGTCGGCGCCACCTGCTCATACTCAGTTGAGCTTGCGCACGTGGTCAGCGGCGCGCAGGCACGGTCGGATGTGGCTGAAGGTGCCAGTGCCTCGTACTGGTTGGAGGTGCAAGGCGGCGAGAGGGCGTCGCAAGAACGATCTGATGTTGCCGTGGCAGCGCTCAACTCAAACTCCAGCACCGTGCATGTCGTTGTATTCTGGCACTGACGATCCTGGAACAACGTGGGTGCCAGAAGCTCATACTGCCACATTTGGCAGGTCGTGTACGGGGCACACTGGCTGTCCGCCGTAGCCGTGCCAACGGCGGCGTAGTACTGGCCAAGCTGCGTGCAGTTGGTATGAGGAATGCAAGCTGCCGATCCCGAATCAGCCTTGAAGGTGCCACTGGGGCATGCTACGCACTCTCGATCGGCTGAAGTGGTGGGCGCGCTGCCCTCGGTGGTACCTGCCGCGCACGCTTGCACAGGCTGACACGCCGTGGCTCCGCGTTCGTCGGCAAAGTCGACGCCACCCGTACACGCCTCGCACGCTGTGGTGGGATCCTCATCCTTATCAGCCCAACCGAGGGCACAGCGGAGGCTGGCACAAGAGCCAGCTTGTCCCGCGGGCACAAAAGTTCCTGCAGAGCAGGCTTGGCACGGGGTCGTGGCTACACCATCGTCGTCGGTGGTTCCTGCGTCACAGGCGGCACAAGCGCGATCCGTAGAGCTCGTGGGGGCCGCAGTCTCGTATTCGCCAGCCACGCAAACCTGGTGAGCCTCGCAATCAACAGCCTGTCCAGGCTCTGATTTGCTGGTGCCGGCTGGGCAAGCCTCGCACGTGCGATCTGAGATGAGCGTTGGAGCAGCAAGCTGTTGCTCTCCAGCCGCGCACTGAGATACGTTGGCACAGCCCACAGCCTGTCCAGCAACGGCTTTAAAGGTCACGCCCACGATGCACTCGTCGCAAAGACGGTTGGATGTCGGTGTTGGTGCACGACTCTCTTCCTCACCAGCCAAGCATTGGGCGACTGCCTTGCACGAGGTCTGGCCGGCCAGATTCTGGTAGGTCTCGCCAGAGCAGCCAGCACAAGCAGTAGCCGGGTTGGCATCCGTATCCGCCGAGCCGGGCGCACACACAAAGCTGGCCGGGGTGCCGTAGGAGCCGGCGGGCGCGTACGAGCCTGAAGGCAGCTGTTGACAGGCAGTTTCGGGCATGCTATCGTGATCAATAGTGCCCGCCGGGCAGGGCACGCACACGCGGTCACTGGTTGCTGACGGGACGGTGCCAACAAATTCGCCAAAGTTGCACTCGGTCAACGGGGTGCACTGACGGTTTGACGTGGGGGTGGGGCTTGCAGACTCGTACTGCTCCACCGTGCAGTTGCGCAGGAAGGCGCACTGACGGTTCGAGGTGGCAGTGGGAGCTGCTGCCTCGTACAGCTGCGGAGAGGAGCAGCTGCGCACGTCCAGGCAGACACGATCGGAGGTGGTCGTGGGCGCGGAGGCCTCAAACTGCGCGCTCGTGCAAGTGGTGACGGCCAAGCAGACACGGTCGGACGTGGTCGTGGGCGCATGGCGCTCATACTCAGATGCGGTACAGGTGGAAATGGTGTGACAGATGGTGTCAGAGCTGTCACTGCAGCTGGCAGCACGGTACTCACCAGCTGCGCAGCTGGAGCAGTCGCTGCAGACTGTATTGGCCGTGCTGCTGCATGCCGTGGCAACAAACTGATTTGCTCCGCAGTCTGCACAAGATTGGCAGCGCGTGTCAGCAAAAGGTGAGCAGTCGTCTGCGGCAAAGTAGCCTAGACCGCACGTGGAACAAGGAGCGCACTGCGTGTCAGCGTAGGCACTGCAGTTGGCCAGGGTGTACGTGGAAACAGCATCGCATACTGCACACTCAGTGCAAGCGCGATCTGAAGTGGCCGTCAAAGCGCCACTCTCAAACTCAGAGGGTTCGCATCCCGTGGCGGCCGCGCAAACGTTGTCTGAGGTGGGTGTTGCAGGCATGCTGATAAAGGATTCGGGGTCGCAGGCTGAGACATTGGCGCACGCGCGATCCGTGGACATTGTGGGCGCAGCAGCCTGGTACTCAAGCGAGGCCGCGCATGGTGTAGTGGCACAGCACAAACGATCGCTCGTCGGCGTTGGCGCCGTGCATTCAAAGGAAGCCGGGGCGCTGCACGCTGGGCTGTAGCTTTGGCAAGTGCGGTCAGATGTGGCGGTTGGCGCTGCCGTTTCAAACGCAACACCGGCAGCACAGGGTGCCGACACGTCAGCGCACTGGCGATCGTTGCTGGCGTCCGGGGCTGCAGTTTCGTACTGTGTAGCAGAGCAAGTCGTCACGTCAGCGCAAGCGCGATCAGTGGTGGCCGTGGGGGCCACGCTCTGATACATTGAACTGCTGCAGACCGTGTAGTTGGTGCACGAGCGGTCCGTTGAAGCCGTAGCACGCTGGCTGACGAACTGATGAATGCCACAAGTTGTGAGGGTGGCGCAGGTCCGGTCGCTAGTGAGTGTCGGATGGGCCGTCTCATACTGTTGAGAAGTGCACGCAGGTGCAACGGAAGTGCATACACGGTCGCTGGAGGTGGTTGGGGCTTGCGACGCAAAGGTGACACCGGCGATGCAAGCGGTGTGCTCAGCACATGCCAGAGCCCCGGAATATGAAGCGAAGGTGCCTTGAGCACAAGGCGCGCAAGTGCGATCCGTCGTGGGTGTTGCGGCTTGGTCTTGGCTAGTGCCGGGCTCACACACCGTCAAGTCGGCACAGACGGTGGCGGTGGTGCTGCCGCATTGTGTGGCAATGTATTGTTCTGCATCGCATTCACCGCACGGCTGGCACTGGCCAAGGCCCGTATGACCGAAATAGCCGCTGGGGCAAGTTGCAACACATGTGCCATCAGCGGTCAAGAAGGGGGCTCCACTGGGGCACGATGTGCATGCGCTGGCATTGGCAGGCAGTGCGCAATTTGCACAGCTGTCATCGCAGTCCTGACACTCATCGTTAGCGTCGGCCGCCTGTCCGTTGGGGCATTCGCTGGTGCAGTGGCCAGCCGAGTCAAGTGCGTTGCGCACAAGGACCATGTTCGAGGGACACGTGGTGCAGGCGCTTGCGCCAGCACCGTTGCAAGTTTCACAGCTAGCATGACAAGCCTCGCAGGACGTCTTCTCAAGGCCGTCATCGCAGACGCCAGCGAGATATTCACCGTTTGTGCAGCTCGTCACGCAAGGTTCACACGTGGTACCGCTGGTTGGGCCACAAGTTCCCGCGAGGAACAGGTTCTTGCCGGCACAGTCATCGGCCGTGAGACACGTGTCACAGATTGCATCAGAGGAGGCGGTGCAGCTGGCCGTCAAGAATTCAACGCCAGACTGGCAGACGGTACAGTGTTGGCAAGTGGGATGGTCCGCACCACCCGAACAAGTGCCCTCCAACCAATAGCCCGCAGGGCACGAGGTCAAACAGGCCTCACAAGTTGGCGTGGTGTATGCCGTGCAGGTGCCATCCAGATACTCACCAGCCGCGCACGACGAGGTGCAGTCTACACACTCGCGATCAGCCGTGCCCGGACCAGCTGGCGCACAGGCCTCTGCTTCATACTGCTCACCCGCCGTGCAGACGGTGCATGGGCGGCAGACGCTGTCTTGACGACCCGAGCAGATAACGTCGAGGAACTCGTCTTCCCCGCACTCGGCCGTGCAAGCAGAGCAAGCGGGAGGGACAAAGGCCACGAGAATGCGCATTTGGCAGCTTCCTGGCACCGCTTGGCTCGTCTGAGAAAGGAAAGTGAAATACGAATCGGCGGGCTCGCAGGCACAAGCAGTGCCCGGGCTAGTACCCTGGGCTGTTTGCAAGGCCTCATCCCCTGCGATGGCGACGCAAGTGGTTCCCCAAGCGGCTTGTGCGGCCGCCGAGGCAATCTGAGCACTGCTGGCGGAGATGGCGGCAGCAAAGGACCAGCCAGCCGGCAAGGTATGGGCGCCAGTTTGGCCAGCAATGTCACTGCTAGCTGGGTCAGTGCCGTCTAGGACGGCAAAGCTGATACCATCAACGACCAGCGTGCGGGCAAAGGTGGTGCTTTGATCTCCAGGGCAGATGCCGGTCAGGAATTGACCCGAGGGGCAATTGGCCACACAGGGGGCACAGACGCGGTCATTGGTAGCCGTGCAGGGCGAAACCTCGTGTTCACCAGCAGCGCATGGCGTGCAGGTGGTGCACTCGGGTGGTGGACCATCAGTGGTGCACGATCCCGCCAAGTACTCCCCGATGGCGCATTGATCAGCTGTCGGGCAAGCAGTGCAAGTGGGAGTGGAGGTACCACCACAGGTGCCGGCCAGGTACTCAAGGCCAGTGATGCAATCGGTCGCCGTGGTGCACGCGGCGCACTCGCGGTTCTGCTCGTTGGCGCAAGGTGACACCTGAAACTCACCCGGACCGCACTCGTCACAAGGGGCACAGGTCGAGGAGCTGGTGCCGCCACATTCGCCCACACGGTAGGTACCGGCACCGCAGGTGGGGCACACTGCACAATGCGTTGAAGACACGCCATCACTGCACGTGCCGGCAAGATAGTATCCATCACTGCAAGCACCCACCGTCAAGCAGGGTTCGCAAGCGCCAGCGCCGGCCATCGCCTTGTAGGTCTGGTTGGGGCACGAAGCACACTCCCGATCGCTGGTGATGCAATCACCGGTCAGCTCTTGGCCGGCAGGGCAAGAGGAGCGGCACACCTGGCATTGTCGGTTCGTCGTGGGTGTGGGTGCGGTCAACTCAAATGCCACTCCAGCCTCGCACTCGAGCAAGGGCTTGCAGATAGCATCACTGGTCGCGGAGCAGGCGGATTGCTGCCACTCATCTTCAGCACACGTTGAACAAGGACTGCAACTCCCAGTGGCGTCATTCGCCCAAGTTCCAGCAGGACAGGTCTCAACGCAGCCGCCATCATGGAGGTATGCAAGGTCATCGCAGCTGACACAGCCGTGAGAGGAGGCGTTGATGCACGAACTGCATAGCGTGTCGCACGCAGTGCAGACACCTTCAAGGGGAAAGAATCCCTCGGGGCAGTCGTCCGCACAGGTACCGCTCGGGGTGAGGTGCTGCTCGCCTTGGCACGCGGTGCATTCGTTGCCAAGGGGACCGGTGCAAGTGGCACAGCTGGGATCGCAGGCAGCACAGACCGGGCCACTCGTGGGACCACAGGGATCGGAGGTCAGATACTCTCCCGCAGCACATTCGGTGACACAGTCAACACACGTCGGCGCAGGGCCAGTCACGGTACAGGGTCCGGAGAGATATTGACCGTCTCCGCACTCGGTCGTGCAGAGCGCGCAGACGCGGTCGGCAGAGGCACTGCAGGCTTGCACCTGATACTCACGACCGGCAGCGCAAGGCGTGCAATCCGCGCACGAAGGAAAGTCCGTGCCGTCGGCGCCACCACACGTGCCCGTGAGGTAGCGACCCGAACCGCAGCTGGTGATGCAGTCCTGGCAAGTCGGATTGGACAGTGTGTTTGTGGAGCTGCACAGGTGGGTCAAATACTGATTGGCGGCGCAATCACTGTCGTAATCCGTGCAGGGGGCGCACACAGTGTCGGCCTTGGCGGCGCAGGCGGTGGCCACAAAAGTTCCAGCGGCACAGGTCGAGCACGAGGTGCAAACGGTGTTCGAGCTGAGACTGCAAGTGCCCGCCAGGTACTCGCTGGGCCCGCAGCTGCTGGCTCGGGTGCAATCGGTGCAAGTACGGGTGGAGGTAGAAGTGGCCTCACCGGTCAAATACTGCCCATCAGCGCAATTTGTGACATGGGGCCGACATTCAAAGCTCCCGGCGCCCAAGGCAAAGCGATAATAACCGCTGGAACACTGGCATTGTGAGAGCTGGGTCGCGCCCGCGGCCGCCTCGGAATTGGCCGGGCACGCCAGGCAGTTGTAATTCGAGGAGGCAGTGCAAGACCCTTGGCGGTAAAAGTTGGCAGGGCAGCCGCAGGCTAGGCATTGGGTACGATCCGTGCCCGGTTGGTAGTGGGCAGCAGGGCAGGCCGTGCAGGGGTACGTGCCAGTGGTGCTGAAGCTGCCAGCAGAGCAGTTGACGGGCAAAACGGTGATGGTGACGGGGACACTCGTGACGAGGGCTGGTGCCCCGCCATCGGCGATTGTCACCTGAAACGTGTACGTGCTCTGGGTTTCGGCGTCGAGGGGACTGGCCACGGTAAGGCGGCCGGTGGTGCCGTCCATGGCAAAGGCCATGACGTTGGCAGGAATACTGAAGGCAAGGTTTGCATTGACTCCAGCATCAGCATCGGTGGCAAGCACTTGGGTGACAAGGGTACCGACGGCTGCGTTCTCCGCGATGCTTAGATCGTAGCTCGGGATCAAGGGTACGGGGGCATTATCGTTGACATCGGCGATCTGTACTGTTATGTCAACGCTGCCCTTGACACACTCGAGGGTTTGGCTCTGAGCCACGAGCTGCAGGGTGTACACGTCAATCACCTCACGGTCCAGAGGGGCAATGAGGGTGATGACGCCCGACGTGGCATTGACAGCAAAAGTCGCCAGAGCCGAGACGGAGCCAGCGAAGGAGAAGGTGAAGGTGCCAGCAATGGCAACACTGGGGGTGTAGACGATCGAGCCAATCGGAGCATTCTCGGCACGGGAGATGACAGGGTCGGCGGTGCCACTAAAGACGTCTGTCCACACGGTCAGGGAAAAGCTCTCAGGCACCAGGGCAGTGCCGTGAATGCCGACGTAGAGGGTATCCTCATTTGGTTCGACCACGATCGACTTGACTTGGCTAGAGCCCGTGCTGGCGTACTCGTGACGCGCTTCCGTGGGAGTCTGGGTGGAGCGGGCTGCGTAGAGGTTGACGGCACCCGTAGCGCTGGTCAGCTCAAGGCGAACGTTGTTCTGATCAGCACACTGGGGCTTGTAAAAGAGCGTTTCACAGGCCTGGACCGTGGCTTCAATGGTGAGACCCGTGGCCAGAATCGCAGGTTCATCACAAGCGCCCGAGCTCATTTCATCAACAATGGCTGAGATTTTATCAAACGACTTGATGGTGTACAAGTTGCTGTCGCCGCTGCCGGTGGCCATGTCTCGGAGCTGGTTCAGATTCATGGCCTTGCCGACACCCACGGCAATGACGTTCACGTCATCTTCGTGAAGAAGGGCAGCTTCCGAGGCGGGCTCATAGCCCGCCGACGCGGCACCGTCGGACACAACAATGAGAACGCGAGGGACGCCCTCGCTGGCGGGGCGCATGCCATTGGATTCGGTGAAGACCTGGGTGCGGATGGCCTCTAGTCCAGCCGCGGTGTAGGTTCCGCCTCCCGTGTAAGCAATAGTGTCGACGGCAGCAAGGACGCTGTTGAGGTCAGAGTGCTCGTCCAAGAAGAAGGAGATGTTGTAGCCCGAGGAGAACGTGGTGACGGATACGCGGGTTTGTTCCGACGAGACGTTGAAGTTGCGGACGACGTTCTTGACAAAGGGAATGACGCGCTGGGAGAAGGTGCCATTGCGACCACCATACTCTGGCTTGTCGATGGAGCCCGAGGCGTCGATCAAGAAGGCCAAGTCCATGGGACGGTCGCAAGAGTCCTCCATGACCGAGACGTAAATGGCAGCAGAGCTATTGTAGAGGACATAGTCAAAGCCGGCATCAGCGCAGACCGAGGCAAGCGCAGCCAGCTCATCGTCGAGGGAGGCGGTGACATTGATGACGGTGAGTAGGGCTGCACGGCCTGTGTTGTGCAAAGTGGCCTCGGCTGCAACCAGCGGGGCAGCTCGATAGGCATCGAGGACCAGCACGGCAGCGCTTTCACCAAATACGCGGGGCACGAGGTTGGCAAGGACTTTGAGGCGAGATGCCATGCGAGCAGAGACAACGTTGGGGTACATGTTGCCAGACGAAGGGGCAAAGGACAGCCCAGCTTGCGCGCGCAAAGTTTGCAAAGCCTGGTAGGCTGGGCAACCGGGGCGGATAATGTCCACGTCACTGCCCACGGCTGTCGCCTCGTCGGCGGTGGGGTAAGCCGTGCCATGCGCAAAAGTGTTTCCACCACAGTGGGCTGGGCATGCGCCATCAAAGCTGTCACGCTCCAGGAAGCAGTCCTTGCAAAGCCAGCAGGAACCATAAGCATCGCAGTATTCATCACCATCGCAGTCGTCATGGGATTCACAGTAGTAGGGAATCACTTCAAAGCCTGTATCTCCGAGGGACGTGGAGTAAGCAGGGCCAGTGCCAATGACGGTTGTGGGATCATGGGCTGAAACAATGGCAACCCAGTATTCACCCGCCGGCGTGGTTTCGGGCATGCGCCAGCCGTAGTATTGGCCCACGCGCTTGTCAATCCAGGTCACAATGGTGTACATGGGCGTCACTGAATTTTTAGGGACCAAATAAGCCGTGATGTATTCGTCGACGGACTGCAGGGGCACCACACGAATGATTGTGAAGAGAAGCAAAGGTGGAGTGGGAAGCGGTGGGAGCCAGAGGCAAGAAAAGAATGACACCACCCAAATTCCATGGAGATGCGCCTCCTTGAGAATAGGAACGTACACCAACTTCACGCCATTCAAGCCCAAAGTAATAACCGGCTGCGGCCGCATCCGAGGCGGTGGGCAGAGTGACTTGAATGTAATCACCTGGACACAGCAAAGATGTTAGAAGCAGCAGGCGGGCGTTGACAGCATGGGAGAGGGAGGGGGGGACGAAATTTGTGATGAAGGCAAAAAAAAATATGAAGATAAAAAAAAAAAATACAAAGCGCCAACGCCAACCTTCATCAGCCGAGCATTTTGCAGGGCAGGCGTAGTCGAAGCTCTCAATGTCCCGGCAGTCACTGCAAGGCCAGCATCCGTCCCTGATGGATGCAAAAGATGAATAGGTACAGGTGCACGATCAAAGTGGATGAGACGAGGAATCCTATCCAGGATGTCTTTGCAGACCGTAATTTGGGGCCATTGTGCATTCAAGCCAGCATACCAGTAATCGCAAAAAGTGTCTGAAGAGCAGGCACTGTGACCACCGTCGGCGATGCAACCGGAGCGACGTTGGCGGTGTTGAGGGCTGCAACGCCGTTCACAGAAATCCCGCTGAGCTTGTGAAGCCGTGTTGGGGATGTCGGTGCAATGCAGGTCGCACGCGTGCGTGGCGTTGTCGGGGGCAGTCAGCTTGTGCGAGTCATCCTCGGCGTGTAGCCTATAGTCCGAGCACGAGCATAACAAGGCGGCCGGTGAATGGCCGAGGAAGAAAGCGAGGCGGGGATTCATCAAGGGGCAATGTTATGACGCACAACAACTCGGGGGTGAGAGTCAGTTTGAGCTGGCCGTTTTGCGTAGCCTATCAGTGAGCAGGGCCGCACGCCCAGGAACAAGCGTGAGTCAATCAAGTCATATGGCCACAGGGAGAGAGAGAGAGGGGGTGGGGGCACAGTGGTTAATGCGCTCTGAATTCAACGGAGGAGATTGGTCGGCTTGAACGCACCAAGGGCGTAACGACGGCGGTGTGGGCCAGGAAGGGCAGAAGAAGCAAAAGGAGCAGGGGCGCCATCCTCTGGGTTGACGCCACGCGCGTTGAAGAGGCCATGATGACCTCGACAAGAGGCTCGTTGAGCCCTGATATAATCCTCGGGGAAAAGAAGAAAGGACCGAAGTGCAAGCAAACGCTGCGACCACAGCTCTCGTTTTTTTCTTTTTCTTCTGCTTGTTCTGCTTGTGTGTGTGCGAGTTGGAAGGTACAACGCAGTCCGACGGGACAACAACGGGCACACTCACTCGGCGCGGCCCCCCAGCAGCCCAGCAATGGGACTGGGGGTTTCCGGGCCGCCGATAGTGCGACAAGCAAACCCAAGGCACAACCTCAGCCTCAAGTGCACACAGGGCGGCGAGATGGGCAGGGACCCTGTGCAGCGAAAGTGGCAGAGCACAACCTGATGAGCCCTCGGATGACGACGACGACGACGCCAGAGAGAGAGAGAGAGACAGACAGACAGAGGCAGAGAGAGAGGGAAAGAGCTGCACAACAAGAGAGATAGAGACTGGGAGGAAACCAGAAATACAGAACACACAAGCAAATTGAAAGAGAGAAAGAGACAGAGACAGAGATGGAGAAAGAGACAGAGACAGCAAGAGAGGCAGAGAAAGACACAGAGAGACAAGCGAGATGTGGCACGGGGCTCCACACAAGCACGGCGGTTGCGAGGCAGGTTTTCAACGGCAACGGGCAGGGCCAAGGGTGTGGCCCAGGGCGCTGCCAGCGTGTGTGCGAGATCAGACGGGTGCTCAGTCAAGAAGCACGGGCGTGTATGAACAGAGGGTCGCTGCCGTTTTGAAGCGAAGCGCTTTTCCTCAAGCCATTGATCTGATGTTTCTCTGACGGAAAGACAAGACCAGAAGCCTTCTCTGCTTTACCCTTGGTTTTGCCTCAAGAAAATATCCCAAAAAACACACTTTCTCTACACCACATGCACCAGCAGCCTTGCCCCTCTTACCCAAAGAGAAAGAGGAGGAAAAGTCACACACGCACAGTCAACGCGTGTGTGTTATCGCGTAACTGAACTGATGTGGGTGTGTTCGAGTCGTGCACCGTCTCTGCTTTGGCTTGGAAAGGCTTTGTTGTAGGGCGCGTTGTTGAGACTGTGGGTTCATCACCTCTGACCCTCTATGGGACAGAGCGTTTTTTCCTTTTTTTGCTAGTGCTGATTTGGCCCACGCCCCCTTTCCTTCCAGCGATGCCATAGCGATCGATAGCCAGCCGCAAGCTGCCACGGATATTAGAGTTGAGTCCAGCAGACGAGGCTGCTCAAGCATGATGGTCATCGTGCTCGGATTCGTGCGCTGGCATCAAGCCAGGAACCAAGGACCCCGGCTGCCATTTCGAGAAAGACACACAGTTACAGTTGGTAGCACCAATGCTCCTCCACTTTCAACTGTAGTTTTCAATACACTTTTAAAAAAGAAGAGTGTGACGAATGTCATACTAAATAAATGTCATTGCGTTGATCATGGGTGTGATTAAAGTGTAACGTTAGCTACATTTTCATCATGACTTCAGAGTCCTGCTTGTCAGTCAGTTTGGGGACACAGGGATGATGCAGTCTTGGAGGCCAGTTGGAAGCCCAGAGTTGGCGCTAACAGTTGAGCTATGGGCGCAGCAGCGTCTTCTCCGACCTTAACCCGGAGGAGCAGTCTCCATCAAACAAAGTGGCCAAGACTCAGAAACATGGGATCTGGCTCAAATTCATAAGGAAAATGCAGCGTGCCGCGCAAAAACAAGCCAAGTTGTTCTCTCTGGCTTTCTCTGTCTCTGGTCTTTCTATCGCTGGCTTTCTCTCTGATCAATACCATTCATATGCAAGATAACACAATGCCGTGTCTCTCTAATCGAGGACTGGGCTGACGAGACAGGCCAAATCCCAAGCAGGCATGATTATCATAAGACCATGTGAAAGGCGGTTTGCAAGTGCAATGTCGATTCGGAACAAGTGCGGACGATAGACGGAAGCATAGAAAAAAAACGGAATCCAGCAAGCCCGAACAAAGCTGCCCACCAGAGAGTGCTTGTTACAAAAGGGGCATGCCAGCGAGTGAACACAAGGCCGACACCAGGCGAAGACGACTGCGCCCAGATCGGAGAAAAAAAAAAGAGGGCCGCTTGGCGGCTAGAGGAAAAATTTACGGCGACCAGTGCCCAATTCGCTGCGATAAACAAACTCATACTCGCCAAATTTGGTATCAAAGGTTCCCTTTTGCAGAGACCGCAACTTCAGCTAACAACAGGAAGCATGAAGCGCAAACGAGACGTGAGACGTGAGACCTGAAGTGTGCGTGTGTGTGTGTGTGCAGCTGGCGAAATAGGCGAAAAAGGCAACCCCAGAACAAAAACAAAAAACGGTGACAGTCACAAACCGTGAAGCGGGGTCCGAGTTCCTGCAAGCCCACACGCTCTTTGTTGCGGAAGATGTACCGATGCCGGCGAACAAAGATGAAATCACGCTGGTTGTGAAAGGTGACGACGGCGCGGCCCTCAAATTCGGGCACTTGCGGGAACAGCGCGGTCAGCTGGCGGCCCACTTGGTGACCAAGGCGGGTGTGAAAGTTGTTGATGATGACCTCTGGATAGTGCATGGTGGATGCACCGTGGTTGTGAATTTCTTTGGCATACTTGATGCTTTTGGGGTCGAGGAGAAGGGTTACAAGTGAGGGCATGTGGGTAAAAGCCAAGAGGGTGCAGGACTAGGGAAATGGAAGCGAGGCCAAAATTTTCACACGGGTCGCGCTCTGAGCTACACACTTTGTGACTTTGAAGTGGGCAGTAGGACCATCGGGGAGGTGGGAAACGACCAGGCCGTTGACTTTTTTCTTATCTTCGTTGATGACCATTACATCGGTAAAGCCCTTGGCAATGGCCTGCTTAATGATTGTTTTGAGTTCAAAGCCCTAACAACCCGAAAAATCATGAGCACGCGGGGGGGGCATCAAATGAAGCAAGGCAAAGCGTTGCGGAAAGCAGACCTTGCGCTTGAAAAATTGAGCCGAGGGAATCATGTTGGCCAGAATTTCGCCAAATTGGTAAGCATCCTGAAAGCGCATCACCACACCACGGGTGAATGCCAGCGCACGACAGAGAGACAGAGCGCAACGGAGGGTTCGTCTGAATGTCAAGGTTGGGCAAGGACGCACGCCGCAGGCTTTGTTGCTGGTGGTGATGAGGACCTTGGGCTCCTTGCCGTCAAAATAGCTGGCCAGCTCATCGGTGGCTTGGTCTTGCATCACTTCATCGTCTTCTGGATCCACAATCGTATCGTCCTTTTCACGCATGTTGTCAAGCGTCTTGGGCACCCGCTTGGCCTGCAATGCAATGTGCACATGGCCGTGAGGCATTGGGGTGGGCAATGGTTGGCGCATCCAGAGTCAAGAGAAAATTGCACGGTTGCCACAAGGCCACCACGGGATCGATGCAAAAGGTGAGCTGAAGACCGCACCGGAGGTTGACCATCTTGTGCAGCAGCACTTGCATCGCCGGCGGTGGAGGAAGCGTCACGCTTGTGGGCCTCGCGCCGAACGCGACGGTCTGCCTTTTTCGCTTTCTTCTGTTGAGCATAAAGTTCGCGCCGGCGAATTTTGTTCGGCACCAGCCCAGGGGTGGGGCCCTTGCGAGAGTCTAAGAATCCATCCTTTTGCACAGCAGCGACCGCCGCCGCAGCTGCGGCCTTGGCCTTGTCCTGAGCCAGCGCAGGCGACAGATCAAGCCAGAGAGAGAAACAGGGACAAGCACGATGCGGCCAATGATGAGACATCCATGGAGAATTTTTCGGGGTTGATAAAGACTCGCCATCCGCCCCACCACACGTTGACGTTCTAGCATGCTCCCCTCGCCCCTCACCCACGCGCTGCCATCACCACCCCTTGCGAGCAACCAGCAGCGCGCGCCCGGCAGCTCAAGCACACGTGTGTGCGCGCTCTCTCTCTCTCTCTCTCTCTCTCTCTCTCTCTCTGTCTCTCCCTCTCTCTCTCTCTGTCTCTCTCTCTCTCTCTCTCTCTCTGTCTCTCTCTCTCACTCTCACCTTTGGCATTGTCAGTATTTCTGAGCAACACGTGTTGTAAAATACAGTTGTTGTCGCCTTCCTTTTGATATTAAATTGAGTAAAATACTTTACGCTCTCACATCTGTAACATCGTGCGCGTGCTTTTGTGACCTTGGCGCACGAGCACACTTCGTCTCTGATTTTCGCACGGGCAAATCCGCATTCTCTGACTTTGCCTTTGAACACCCTTTACACATTTGCTTCAGCCAGCACTTTCTCTGAAGCGGTGACCAAACGTACCTTCATCTCTAGCCGGCTTGTTCGCAAAGCACGGCAGCGGCGGCGACTACTCCTCCCCCTCCCTCCCCCGTGTGTGCCACCCCAGCACCTGGATCCCACTACGCCCCACCCCCCCCGCCGGTGGACTTGAAACACCTCATTGGTCACGCTCACCCGTGGCTCGGTGCGGGACGACCGAGAGGTTTCTAGCCGCTTCAGCCCGTTATACCGGCGCAAGCGCCGTTTCTTCACGTTTCTCCGCTTCTCGAGCTCGACCGTGCGCGCTTGCTCCTTGGACCTTGACACTTGAACAGAGCCAGCAGAGCCGAGTGAGCAGCCTGAATCGGTTGGGCTGACAGAGTCGACGAGCAGGGAGCAGAGAACAGACTCGCCTGCAAGCATGGCGGCTCCACCAAACAGTTCAGACACGGCGCCCGCCGCTGGAAATCTGCAGCGGATGACCGCCATCCAGATTGATCTGGACGAAGGATCAACCGATACGGACGCACCTTTGCCGGCCTCGCAGCAGCAGCAGCAGCAGCATCAGCAGCAAGCTTTGCCGCAAGAGACCACAAAACAGAACCCCGGCCTCCTCTCGCCCCGCCCTGAAAAGACAGGCAGTCGGAACAAGGGGTCCAAAGCATCCCCGGCTCATCATCGCGGGCATCGCTTGCACCGCTCCGATGAAACCTCTCTCATTAATGTTACCAATCCCGATGATCCCTTTGCGAAGAATCCATCAGCGTCCCACTCCCATCACCAACGGCACCACAGCACCGCTGCTCCCAGCAGCCGTCGCTCTCTGGATCGCAACGCCTTTAGCTTCAGCCACTACCGCAACGAATCCCTCGAAGAGGATGATGACCTTGTCAACGGTCCCCTCTCAACCAGCAGCCGTAGCTTGCGCCTCAGCCTCCTTCCAGCTCACCACACCTTTCCACACGACAAGGAGCTTCAGCACGCCCTCGTCGCGTCCTCCCGCAGCTTGCACGAGAACAGCAGCACACCTCCCCCTCTCCACAGCCCCAAAAGCCCCCGGCGCCCCCGCGGCCACACCCGCAACAAGTCTGTTGGTGGCCAGCCCTCCCAATACCCCGTGCGCCCCAGTGAACTGCGATCGGCCCCCAATCGACACCACACCATTTCGGCCCCGTCCGGCTCCGCCCCCGCCACACCCGCCAACAACAGTCATGCCCACGCTCGTTCACGCACCCAAACTCAGAATCAGACCACCAACTCGCCGCAGCCCCTTCACCAACAACCTGACTCTCCGTTCGGTGCCTTTCTACCTGCGCGTAACACCACCCCTTCACCAAACCCAGAGATCGGTCCCGGTGCGTCCACCACCTCTGCCACTCGTCCTGCCAAGCTTCCAACCTCTGCTCGTCGCCACCAGGGCATC